GTTTGTGGCACCGGGCGGGTAGCTCGCTGCGGTCGCGCGCGCCTGGGGTCCGGGCACCGCTTGGGGCCCGGGTTGGGGGCAGGGGCGATGGCGCGCGAGTTCGGAGCCCCAGCAGCCGCCGCGTTCATTCTCCCGCGGTCGCGTCCGAGCCTGTGTTGCCGTGTGCGTGTCACAGCGCGGAGCTGTTTACCGGGCGACAGCTCTGAGCGCACAGCGTGTGCCGGGGTCTGGAGAGCCTGGCGATGGTGCTGGCGTTTGCGGCGGATGTGTTGGCGAGTGCCAGCGTGCAGGTGCTCCAGAGAGCTCTGCTCCTTCTGCCAAATAGTGACGGGGCCGCGTCACTGGGGGTCTGCGTGCCCCGTGTGTGCCGGTGTCTGGGCGCCGGTTGCTCCCTTTATTCCACGAGCGCGCCAGTCGGGGTGCCGCGGGGAACGTGGGGGTGTTGCTGTTGCGTGTCAGTGGGTGAGTGTTTGTGTACAGATGGTAAAGTGACAAAAAGCCCCCAAGTCCCTGCCAAGGCTGCTGCGAGGGCTTTGGCATCAGCGGTGGCTAGGGCGGTGGGGGGGGGGGGCAGGTGGCGGCCGGCAGCTGGCTGCCTCGGCAGGGGTTTCCATGTCCTTTGGGGCTGTCGATGGGGCCGCAGGGGGAGATGCTACAGGGTTCCAGGGCGGGCGCTGGAGGCGGCGCAGGACCTAGCTCATTCTTCCTCACCCCCTCCCTCCAGGCCCAGGGCCCCAGCCAGTGCCCAGCCCCGCTGGGAGCCCCGGCCAGCACCACGGACGGCACCCAGGAAGCCCGAGTGCCCCTGGACGGGGCCTTTCTGGATCCCCAGGCCCCCGGCAGGTTCGCCCAAGGGCTGTTTCGCCTGCGTGTCCAAGCCCCCCGTCTGCAGGCTCCAGCGGCCCCGGCCCCCGAGCCCTCGGCCTCGCCCCCCATGGCACCCACTCTCTTCCCCATGGAGTCCAAGAACAGCAAGACAGACAGCGTGCGGGCCGCCGGCGCTCCCCAGGCCTGCAAGCACCTGGCAGAGAAGAAGACCATGACGAATCCCACGACTGTCATCGAGGTCTACCCCGACACCACCGAGGTGAACGACTACTACCTCTGGTCCATCTTCAACTTCGTCTACCTCAACTTCTGCTGCCTTGGCTTCATCGCCCTGGCCTACTCCCTCAAAGTGAGTGGGCGGGGCAGGCGGAGCAGGGGCGTGGCGGGAGGAGCGGGGGGCGGGGCAGGAGGAGGCGGGGGGCGGGGCGGGGAGGGGAGGCCGAGG